CAAACGGCGACCCAGTTTCATCCACCGAATCGACGACACGAAGACGCCATTCTTCTCGGTGTACACGTTTGCAACGGGAGAGCTAGATCTTTATCCGTCGGATAAAAGAATCAGGTCAAAGTTGCTCACGAGGCTCATTGACGCGGGTCAAAGTCTTGTTGCGTCTACGAGAACGCTAGTTTATTCGTCGCGTGTTCGGCTGATTGAAACTGCATCAATGGATAGGAAAAAGGGAAGGAAATAGGAGGTTTAACTGAGAAAATATTACGAGGTATCATGACCCCTCGAACGTTACGAGGCATTGTGTACCGCTTTTGGAAACAGCGTCGTAACTATCAGGACGGTGCAAAGTTTGCAAAGTTTAAAATTGCAAATTTAGACCTTGAAGTTAAAAATGATTTAAATGAAGAAATGGAAGTTTCTTATAGAAAGGGAACTGATTACCAAAAAGACAGAGTACTGTCGCACAAAATGACGCGATTATATCGCAACTTAACACGTTCACTGCCAAGTCTATTTTGAAGAAATCTGTTCCAGACGCCAAAATTATTTTTTCAATTTATTGCATAGAATTAAACAAACACATATTAATTTTTATATTATGACTTTAATTTTAATTGTATTTTTGTAAAAAAAAAATGCTTTCGAATTATCTCGTGGTTGGGCGTCTCCGAATAGGACGTAACTTCTACCAGCAAACTGCCAACTACGAGTTGTCTCGTAGCTTGGCAGTCAACGTGTTAAATAAGAAAAAAATTACAAAAATTTTCAAAATCCAGAATTTTCCGACATACCTAATATTTTACAGTTAGGTTAAATCAACCAAGATTACTAAATCATTCCAGCGAAACTTTCGAAATCAGGTTGGGTCACGTTAGAAAATCGTAAAGGTTAGATTAGAACGTTGAAAAACTTCGTATCTACGATTCGCATGGAAAAGCGTGGCGAAAGGGCGCGATTTGAAGGTTGAACGAAGTATCTGGCGGTGAAATGGGGAACGCGGAGTCCCGATTGGCGCCAGGGGGCACGTATCGCCGGGAAAATCGAAAGTGCCAGGCGATAAGAGCGAACTTGATCGTTACTTCGTCAGCAACCGGTGGAAACGGTCAATGCGAGGCGCATCGCAAACGGGTATACGAGTGGTCTGCGGTCGCATTACCGGTACGCACGTCGAGGAACGAGAATTACCGCATGAAACTCGAGGCGGGCAGTACCTACAAGACGCGGCCGAATAGGAAAAAAGCTTCTCCGGCGAGGAATCGATTTCACGGCGGCAGTGAAATGAGGGAGAAGTTAATGAACGATACATAATCTTTCGTGTGCCTGAAGACTTTTTTTTTTATTTTTCAGATTTGTAGGGGACTTCAATGTTATTAAAGCGAAAAATATTTTAATGAAAATCAAACGAAATTCTATAGCGACGACACAATGGTGTCACCAAAAAAAAGAAGGGTAAAAGTTATGGAATGAGAAGGTGCTAACGTTTATTCTTTTTTTATCAAATTTAAAGGTTCGTTGGAAATTACGATCTAAATTATAAAATTTCACACGAACTTATGGGATGACCTAATCGTATCAGGTAATTTTTTTTGCAATTTTTTGGTTTTTCAGGGTAAAAACACCCCTTAATGTTAATATGTGTTTTCCTATTTTCTATGGAAACTATAATAGATGTAAAGAAATTATTAAAAAGGAAATTTAATGCATACTGCTGGAACTAAATAGGAGGTCACAATTTTTTGAAATAGTGAAGAATGGTGCGATTTTTCATTCTCCCAAAATTTGTCAAGGAAGTGACGAATGTTGTTTTCACTTAAATAATAAATTTCTAGGAATTTCAGTGCGCAGTTTTATAGGGTATAAAAATCGATTAAATTTGTATCGTAACAATATTTCGATGAATTTGTGCAAAATTTTTGACATATCTGACACGTGAAAAATCAGAGCGACATTTGATAGTCCAAAAAAACAATGTGCCATATTAGTGTCAAAGAAATGATGGATACCGAACAATTTTTCTCATGATTTTAACCCCTTCTGTACATCATGATGCGAATAACGAGCCAAAGGGCAGCAAGGAAAGCAAAAAAAAAAAAAAATGAGTGTTTCATAACAAATTACAATGTTGACAGAAAATTACCAGAAACATTAAACAACATGACGAAAACGGTGCCGAGCAAAAGAAATGACCGTCGGTTAAAAATCGTAGACTTCGTCCTAACCTCAATACATTCAACAAGATAGACGATAGCAAACAATGTTTAGCAGTTAATTAGTATCGACGATGATTAGTAAATAGGCGCGTGTCACGAACGGTCAGAGTAACGTCATAACAGATTACGAAGCAGCCAATCCCTTCGGAAAATCACACATTTACCACGTATCGCAAAAACAATAAAAAAATAAGAACTAAAATAGTAACCTCTGCAAATACGAAAAAAAGTTCTTAGCAAGTGATAAAATTGCAGAAGAAAAAAAGGTAAGACAACTTAGGCGCCACATGTGCTCCTCCAAGGCTACTCTTCGAACAAAGTGCTCCGGAAGATAGATAGAGACGATATATAGAAAGCTGCAAGACGATGGAAAATTCTTGACTACGACAGTTTGGGAAAAACCGAAAAATATTGTCACCGAGGGAGCAGGATCTTTAAAAGGCCGCTCTTCGAAGAGGAAACTCCTCTCGACATCTTTCCCGAAGGTTAATCGTCGGGAACTCTTCTCTCGAAAGACCATCAGAGAGAGACTTTTCAACGAACGAAAAAATCTTTCCCGCATAAGTTACAATGAAACGGGTCCAGAGGATTATAAGCAGGTAGAGGGAAAACCTGACGACCTCGAGTTTCGAGAAAACTCGATCTTCTAGCTCGTAACCTCGTCCGTTCCTTTATTGCAGCGGTTGTGTAATAAAATCATAGTTCCAAAGTGCTCGTGATCAGCTAAATATACGATCGTGAGGTGCTATAACGAGTCAAATGCAGACGATACGCGTTTAACGGCGTAACGGTACGAGGATTCCACGGTTAACGCGTCGATCGCTTAGCCAGGCAGCGTCGAGACGCGGAAAGAAGGCGTCCAGACGAAGTCGAGGTGAAGAAAAACAACTGTGACCCGATTCTCCGCGTCTAGACGCTGGTCACGGTGGGGTATTTGTATGAAAAAACGTTTGTGAAAATTATTTTGTCAATTTCACCGGAGCCAGATGCACTTAGAAACGAAGAAACGTTAATTGTTCGATAGAATTTTTACACGAAAACTCACAGGAGAATGCAGAAATTCGGAAATAAGCCGATTCATACACAGGATTTTTTACTTTACTGTGACATTTCCATATTGAAACTCTCAATTTCTAGAGTTACATATGCAAACAAGGGAAACAAGGATTTACCACCAATTTTTAAATTATTTTTGTATAATATATAGGAATGTTAGGTTGCAGACTGATTTTTCTCACAGAAAATTAGAAACAATAACGCTTATATTTATAATAATAACAGAAAAAATAAATAAACAAAAATTCTATTTATATGGTCTTCTTCTGTCTAAATTCTGGCGTCACAAAAATGGTCGTCATTCTAACATTATCAAACAAAAGAAACACTTTTTCGAATTTTAATTAAATCGGAAAATTTGAATTTTGCCCAACTTTTTAAATGAAATACTCGACTGTGTTCTGTGGAAGCATCGACGACTCGCATCCAGAAGAGAGAAGTTCAAATTACCAGAGATTTTCTGCGCTGTTTCTAGAAGATAAGAGACCCAACCTTAACCCGACTACTTTATGCAGTTCGATTTTATTTTTCCGCACAGTTCTGAAAGTAGAAATCTATTCAAGATGATAGATTGCACGGTGGAGAGTAAAAGGTTAAGAAAAGTTCCGCTGCTAAATTGTCCTTTCTAAGAACCTGGCCAGTTTCACGGAGGACGAAGGATCAGAGGATCTATGTAATCAACAAATCCTCCAGACCTTTTGCAAACTATAACGAACAGTGGAAGACCTAAAATGTCTAGCTTCTCTAGACTCCGCTTTCTTCGATCGTGGCTCTAACGAGATGGTAAAGCTTCACACCACTAGGTACAGGATAAACATTACCGTTCATCAGACGAGCCAGCGCTGATCAACATCCACGTCCCAATCACGCTTCACCGCATTCAATAAACGCTTCAACAACAACGTACCGTGATCGTGTCCGTGATTGGACCACGATTGCACGTCCGATGCATTCGTTTCACCGAGTATACAGATGTAAACAAGATTTTTTGGAAAATCATGTACCATCAGATGGTGTGGAAATTTTTCAATTTGCTCAGACGTTAATTTTGATTCGAGAAAAGATTGGTAAAAAAGAAAATAGTAGAGATGGATAGCGAGGAAAAATGGTGAAACGAGAGGCTGAAGTTCTCTATTGTGCCTGTTTGCGGTGACATGAGGTTGGTTAGGACAAAGACAACCTTCGAGGTTGCTTGGCTGTCGCACGAGTATCGCTATCTTCGCGCTGATATCATCTGACTCCTTTTTTCTCTCTGTGCTCGCGAGTGGCCGACGATAAGGATCGTTATTAGCCGTGTCCTTCCGGCACGATTCTCGCTTAACGAAGCCGAGCTCAGTGTCTCCGCATACCTCATTTATTTACCTTCTTCGATAGACATTACTTCGGTCACACACGACGATATTCAAATATTTCTAATGGAAATTTGGAAATTTCCAATGATAACTCGCGATGTTAATTACAAACTGCAGTGTAATATATTAAAAAAAAAACAATGTTAATTTTATACAAACGATATACACGGTTTTATGAAATTTAATGAGAAGTTATGATGTAATTTTGTATGATTATAACTCGTTTTGATTAATTATACGATTATGAAGATGGAAAATTAAACATGTACTTTTGCTCAGAACGAGCTTAGTTATGAGTACAGGCAGGAAATGAAAAAAGTTGAGAATAACGAAGGGGAGGGTTTAAGGAAATTCACAGGTGAAGAAGCTCATCACTCACCGGAACCGTAATCTATGCTTGGTGTAGGTGGAAGGTGGCTCTCAATGGCGGCCTTGCTGAACAAATAGATCGGATTCGTGTCGGTTCCGGCCGAATAGGAGCACACACGCGCGTTCTGTTCCAGGCTTTCGCCTCCGCTCATCAAGAGCACCTGGTGCGCCGCCACCACGCCGCATTCTCTCTCGATCGCTTCCTTCAGCTGGGAGACACTGTGCAGAAAAGGAAGAAAAATTTATATTAATAATAATCCGTGGGGTAATAATACATGGTTTATTTCAGCGGGAAGAGTGCGAGAGAAAGGTCGATAGAGTGGCTGGATCTGGATGGTAAGATGTTTTGAAAATCTGTAAGAAATGGAAAGTCTGAGTTCTTAATGAGTGGACGGTTTGGAAGTTACAAATTTGGAAAGTTATGAACTTGGAATTTTGAACGTTCGAAGTTTCAAAACATTGCAAATTTAAAAATTTGGAAGTATGAAACTGTAAATGTTTAAGAATTCGAAGGTTTGAGATTGAAAAAATTGAAAATTTGAGAATTCAAGCGTTTGAGAATTTGAAAATTCGAAAGTTTGAGACTTCGAAAGTTTGAGAATTTAAAAATTCAAACGTTTAAGACTTCAAAGGTCCGAAAATTCTGAAGTTTAAAAATTCGAAAGTTTGAGAATTCAAAAGTTAGGGAATTCAGAAGTTTGGGAATCCAGAATCCCGAGAAATTCGAAAGTTTGAAAATTTGGAAATTCAATAGTTCCGAGAGTCAACCATCGGAAAATTGCTCCATTCAAGCGGAGCATACGCGGCCGATACGATCGAAGCGCAACTAAGGAATACAACTTCGTCGGACATCACACGCCCCACCTGGATGAACCATTTAAAGCGATCTCGGTACACGATAAATTCTACGATAAACCGGGCCAGTTGTACAGCTTCAGCGTCGTCTATACCGTGATTAAGGTCAAGATTATCTGCGCCCGGTATCAGAGAGGCCGGCTGCTCTTAGGAGCGCCAACAAAAGTCCAAGTAATTGGGGAAACTTGGAAGACTTCTGCGTAGCCGAACGGGAATCTAGCACGGGAGATCCCCGCCTTTAAACCAGAAAACAGTGGAACGCTGTTAGGCTGCCGGTCGCCACGACACGACCTGGTTCTCGCAAGGCGTTCAAGCACACACATCACGATAGTAATTGCCGGATGATGCGTTTCCGTAATTCGCGTGGAAACCGCCCAGCCAAGAAGAGGAACGGAAAGGAAAAGAAAAACGGGATCGATTGGACAGTTAACCGAGTCCCAACTTTCGATCTCAAAAGCGACCACTCTCTATTCCTTGGCAATTTTGTGCTCGAACGCATGGTAACCACCGTAATATAAAATGATTAAAATCTACGATACGAAATGCGTGCATGTAATTTATTTATTCATTTACACACGGAAGGCAATATTCATTAGTGTGCAATGAGTTCGTAATATAAATAACAGATGATGAATGTAGCAATTATCATAACGTAAAGCTGCACAGTTTAATTATAAGGTAATTGCTTAAGTATAATAGCATGCTATTTAAACGGATTTATAAACACAGCGAGGAAAATACAACCAGTCACTTGTATCCGTTCGAGACGTGGACCAATTAGGTCGTACGATATACCGTTCGAAAGCTCACCGAAAGAAAACATTTGACACCAACTTTCAACCCTCTAGCTCAACCTAGGAGTTAGTTACAGGGTAGTTTATATTCACAATTCTGTGGACTATTTTCCCTATTTAGCGGTATGCAAAGATTCAAATTTTTAAAATCGGTTTTTAATTTTTTTTCAGTATGACCCACCTTACCAAAAAAATCTGATCAAAATTTAGGATAATAGTTATGTTAAGATGCTGCTACTACATAAATGTACAAGTAGTCGCTTGAATATTTCAAAAAATACCCGCTTTTGTTTACGGTTTTTATTTTTTATAACTAGGATTTGCAACGAAAAAATCTGAAAAAATTGCCTAACATGTGCCATCATATGCGCAATGTGCTAGATTTTTTTCCAAACTTTTGCATACCGCTAAATAAGGAAAATAGTTTACAGAATTGTGAACATAAACCACCCTGTAACTACCCCGTAGGTCGAGCTAGAGGGTTGAAAGTTGGTGTCAAATGTTTCCTTTCGGCGAGCTTTCGGAATGGTATATCGCACGACCTAATTGGTTCAAGGGCCCTTTCTTTTCGCGGCGGCGGATGTGAAACAAACAACCGCACAGTTAGATACGCTTCTGCGTATTATTCCTGTAACGCTCGTCGATTGATCATAGTAACACACCATTATTTCTTTCTTCCTTGTATGCGATAAATTTCATTTGATTGCAACAGAGGATAAAATTGCAAGTTGCAATTGTGTCAGGGTGATATTCATCGAGGTAGCAGAAGAACGCATCCAACCAATTTGCAAAAACAAAAGACGAAGGAAAAAGGAATCTGCACGGAGGTCGAACAAATTTAAACGACGAATTCGCCGATAAAATTCTTCCGTGCTAAATATCCGCGTCGTTTCTCTCGCAGCTAACCTTTTATAATTAATACGCGATGCGCCACACGTCGTCCTCGCCTTGGACAAAGAGCTTCTCCTTATCCGTTATTTAACCTTGCTAAGGGTGCTGATGACGACTGGACGAGAGGGAGAGCGCGAGATCCACCGTTCCAATTCCTTTTACGTGCAATTTATGAGCGGTGCGCGCGCGATTCTTCCAGCCGAGGCGATCGTTTCAGATGGGTTCGAGTGGCCTACAATAAAATTCACGCCGGCCATGGGACAGAACACTGCCTCCGTTTACTTCGAGCTGCGTCGCGTATTGCAATTTCAAACCAGATAAAACGGATCCTGAACCCGCGTAAATAACGCACCAACGCGGGACGTTCCTATAGTTACGTCGAATTTTATAATTCCGCCGGCGAGAGAAGGCTGGAACCTGAAACGAGCTGGACGCTCTAGTTTGAGCAAATATGTACAGGAAGAACACGAAGTTCGATAAGGGGAAAAAAGCGAAATAGCCGGACTATGAAAACTTGTTCAACCACGATTTCCAGTTCTAGCGAAGAAGAAAGCCATCCTGTCGTTCCTGATTCAACGTCTTCAGGGACGATTTTTTATAAGGTTACAAATAAATTGAAAAAAGCACGTCTCGCTTGCGTACGCGAAGAAAAATTGATACCAGTTTAGTATTCGTTACAGACACCACGGTTGGTGGATAAATAAGAAATTCTGGAAAAGAGTAATTCGCTCGTGAAAGGGTTTAAGTGTTTCTACTAGGACTGCAAAGCTTTGAATAGTCCAACGAAAGAATTCTGTATTCGAATAACAAGAAAATTCAGATTTCTGTAAGGCTTTCGGCATCGCCGACAGAGTGGGACCATTGCGTAGGGCAGTGGCCTCAAACTCAAATTGCACGCAGGCCGAATGCATGATCTGAAAGCAGCGGACGGGCCGGAATTTATTTTAACAAAATGTATACAGGAAATCTAACTTTAAGCACCGCATTTACAACAAATACATAACTGAAATACATTCGCGGGCCGTGTAAAATTGCTCCGAGCCGCCAGTTTCAGGCCACTGGCGTAGGGTAGGGTTTCGGCTTCGCCGAAAGCGTCTGTCTCGAGACTTCCGGTCGCGCCAACGGAAACAGACTCTTGGAAAAACGCGTTTGACCCTGTCCGCGGCACGGGACAAAGGAGACTGACGGTTTAAAAAGGCGAGCCGCGAAGGAATAAACACAGTAGAGCGTCAGTTATCCGAACCGAGGAGTAAACAAACTTATGGTGTAGCGGTACCGATTGATGAGTGAAAAATAAACTTTTTTTCAATATTTTCATCGATCAGCAATTTTAGGCTTCATTCCTATAGTTGTAAACTGAGTAAGCACATGCGTATGTTTCATTAAGTGATCTGTTTGATTATCCGAACAATTCGATTTTCCGAACCACCTCAGTCCCAATTGGTTCAGATAATTGACGCTCTACTGTATATCGAACACGAAGACAGATTTTCGGACTCGTACGCTCGCACTTCGAATAATTCGGATAACTCGAATTTCGGATTGTGTCCCGGTGTGTTACCATTCGAGGCATGAAAACTGGGTCCATTAGGAAAAGTGAAGAGCAAACAGTCGTAAGTGGAAGCAAAACCAGGGAGAGACTCGATTAGCGGCGACGGCGAACTGGCGTGTGGCAAATTTGCTCGCGAAATTTCGTAAGGCTTCTAAATGCTGCGTGTTTGCCGCGGTTTCGAGCAGTAATCGTCGGCTCGTTTAACGATCGAATCGGCCCGAAACCGGGGATAAGTCGCAATTTACGCCACAGCGTATTTGCCAGTGCGCAGTGCACACACTTTGTAATTAGGCGCGGGCGCGAGAATAAAAGCAGCGGCGGAGCAAAGGCGCCACACACGCCGGGATCGACACACATCGTTAATTGCCTCGACGAACGAACGGGGTCACTGACCGGCCGCGACCACGCTGCTATCTTAATGCACAAATATTGGAAGTATCTAAGAGGCGGGCGCCTTTTCTGCTCGTGGGATCGTTCCTCCTCTCTTTCTCACTCTTGCCTGCATTATGTGTGTTAGAACAGAGGCTGGTTGTGTTTGTAACGGCGACAGAACGTGTGAGTGCGTGCGTGTATACGGTAATTGCGAAGGGAGGTCTGAAAAAGAGACTCGAGAGAGCTTTGGGGAACGCACGGAGTTCCGGAAGTGGGTGAAAAGGAAGCAGCGAGACTGAAATCAGAGTAGAGCACGATACAGACGATTTGCCCGCCTCGCAATCATTAATTCTGGCCATTTATAGTGACTCAAGGGGTTGTATGTAAATAGACGGGGGCAAGAAAAAGCGGCGTGTAAAAGTGGGAATGTTTCTTGTGGAAAATGTAAGTGAAGGAAATCAGCCTCTAGAAATCATCTAGTATACTCTGCAATGAAGTATCGGACTATCTGGAAAAAATTGTACGCAAATAATTTGCAAAATTTAGAGGTGTGAATTTCTAGCTTAAAGAATATTGAAAAGAAACGAACTTTTGGGGAAAATGGGATTTTCAAGTTTGCAAGAAAACGGCAGGAATTTGTAGAACAAAATTGTACATATTTTATAAAATAAAGAAATTACTGCTTTAAAGTGTACTAAAAATTTACTGATTTACTTAAAAATCGCCACGAATTGCCGAACAACCCAATATAGTCT